CCCAGTACTCGGGAGGCAGAGGCAGGCAGATCTCTGTGAGTTCAAGGCCAGTTTGGGCTACATAGTGAGTTCCAGGCCTGGGGCTACAGGGAGATCCTGTCTCCAAAAGACCAAAAAAAAAAAAAAAAAAAAAAAGGAGTTAGACTGCAGTTCTTGAACGCCTTTGATAAATGTAGTGAGCGTTCCAAAGATTGCCTGCTTCCTTGGGCTGGCAGACATTTCCATCTGAGTTTTCATGCCATCCTTCCTTCCCCTGGTGCTTTGCCTCCCTCTATCATAGAGACCTCAGGACAGCATGTCTGGATTCGAGTCATCAAGAAGAAAAAGGTCATTGTCAAGAAGAGAAAGAAGTTAGTGCGCCCCAGTCCTCTGGTGACTGCCAGGCCTTTGGTGACCACCAGCCCAGCAGGGACCCTCAGTCTTCCTGAGAAACAAGAACCAGGTATTACCTCTCAGGACTCTGCCCAGGCTTATAGCTGTCTCACTGCTTGCCTAACACAGGAGTAATCTTAGTATCAGCTTCTGACCTGCTTTGATTACCCTTTCTTTAGTCCTGTCTCACTGTTCTGTCCTTATCCTAGGATGTCCCCCTTTGGGCTTGGAGTCTCTACGAGTTTCAGATAATCAGCTGGAGGCATCCAGCAGCCAGTCCTTTGGTCTTGGACCACACCGAGGACGGCTCAATATCCAGGTCAGCAACCCTGGCTCAGAGCCCAGGTCTGAGGGGTAGGGCAGCACACCCTTGGGACCCTCTCTCTACCTTCCCCCATCCTAGCCCTTCTCTGCCTGCCCACCTGGACATGATCATCATACCCTCTGCACACAGTCAGGTCTGGAGGATGGTGATCTATATGATGGGGCCTGGTGTGCTGAGCAGCAGGACACTGAGCCTTGGTTTCAGGTGGATGCTAAGAAGCCCATTCGCTTCTCAGGAATTGTCACACAGGGCAGGAACTCTGTGTGGAGGTGAGGCAGGCCAACTTCTAGCTGGGAAGTTTTGGGTGGACAGATGTAGGAGGACTGCAGTGGCACTCCTGGACCACTAATGATTTCCCTTTATTTCTCTGGCCAGGTATGACTGGGTCACATCATACAAGGTCCAGTTTAGCAACGACAGTCAGACCTGGTGGAGGAGTAGGAATCATAGTAGTGGAATGGATGCGGTGAGTCATCCCATAGTGGCTGGGACTCTTTCTACTAGAAGTTTGGCACCCAGTCCATAGTAGGGCTTGGGTAGGCTGGGATTCCTCAGAGAATAAAGAACATATGTACATTTAGGCTCCCAGGAGAAAGTTGGCTTTTTTGCAGATCTAAGGCTGAAGTCCAGGATCTTGTACCATTCCCAGAGCAAAAATGTTACCAGTGAACCACATCCCCAGCACAGGTTGCTTTGGGATATGTCTAGTAACTCCACCGTGGGGTAGGTGCTGCTTCATGCTGCAGCTTCTTCCTGGGACAACCTTCTGGTCATGAGCCTCTGGTTTGCATCATTTCTACCTGCTCATGCCTCTGGTTTTCCATTACACTAGGCTACAGAATGGGTATGTTGCTCTAATGACCTATGATCATGTCAGAAAGCACAGCTGCCCAGAGCTGCCTACTGGTAGGAGCTGTGAAATGGGGGGGGGGTCCATGTTTGAAACAGAGTGCACGTCTCCAGCTGAGCCCGCTAAGAGGGTTTGGTAGTGAGTATGGGAGCTTGAACTCCTTCCCTGGATCTTGGGCCAGTCTTGGGTTTGATCAGCCCCATCAAAAGACCCCACATTCCTAGGTATTTCCTGCCAATTCAGACCCTGAGACCTCAGTGTTGAACCTCCTGCCAGAGCCTCAAGTGGCTCGCTTCATTCGGCTGCTGCCTCAGACCTGGCTCCAAAAAGGTGCACCTTGCCTTCGGGCAGAGATCCTGGCTTGCCCAGTCTCAGGTAGGCAGTTGGGCAAAGGCTGGATGGGCAAGGCCTGGTTGCAGGGGCATCCTTTACTATGAGCACAGCCTTCATCTAGTACTCACTTTCTACCAGATTCTAATGACCTGCTCCTTGAAGCCCACGCAATTGGATCATTTGATCCTCTGGACTTCCGGCATCACAATTATAAGGCCATGAGGAAGGTCAGATACAACCCCTATGACCCAGGAAGGAAGGTCTACCTATTAACTTCCCACCAGGATAAAATGTGCTGTGACATCCCATGTGTCTCCTGCCCCCGTGTCCTTTTTCCCACTTCTCTCCCTATTGATCCTAAGTTCTGATCCAGTTATCCTTGTCAGACACCTCCCCTGTTCTGCCCCTATTGCTGCTCTTTTCCTGGATCCATACTCTGTTGGTATGGGCCACCATTGACTTTTTAAGTCCTTACATGATTACATGTGGTCTGACTTTTGTATGTAACCCTCTCCTGCACCTCTCTGCTTCCCAGCTGATGAAACAGGTGAATGAGCAATGCCCCAACATCACCCGCATCTACAGCATTGGGAAGAGCCACCAAGGCTTGAAGTTGTATGTGATGGAAATGTCAGACCAGCCTGGGGAGCATGAGCTGGGTACTGTCAGGTGGCATGGGAAGAGGTAGGCACAGCATAGGCCAGGGTATGAGTCAGCTATAAGTCTCCATGTGTTTCCAGGGGAGCCTGAGGTTCGCTATGTGGCTGGTATGCATGGGAATGAGGCCCTAGGGCGGGAGTTACTTCTGCTTTTGATGCAGTACTTATGCCGTGAGTTCCTGCGAGGGGACCCACGAGTGACTCGGCTGCTTACTGAGATGCGTATTCACCTGTTGCCCTCTATGAACCCTGATGGCTATGAGACTGCCTACCGCCGGGTAGGCCACCTGGCATGAGGGTCACCCTGCCCCTTCTGCCATGGTACCCAGAGCCTACTTGGCTTGAACAAGGCTGTTTCCTGGCAGGGCTCAGAACTGGTGGGCTGGGCAGAAGGTCGCTGGAACTACCAGGGCATTGACCTTAATCACAATTTTGCTGACCTCAACACACCACTGTGGGATGCAGAAGACAATGGGCTGGTGCCCCACACTGTCCCCAACCATCACCTGCCACTGCCTACTTATTATACACTGCCCAATGCAACTGTGAGTATTCAGGGGGCAGTAGTGGTAGGCCACCAAGGGCCCCTTGTCTGTTGCGTCCAGTCCATCTCAACTACCCCTGTTCAGGTGGCGCCAGAAACAAGGGCAGTGATTGAGTGGATGAAGCGTATTCCCTTTGTGCTGAGTGCCAACTTCCATGGGGGTGAGCTTGTGGTGTCCTACCCTTTTGACATGACTCGGACCCCATGGGTAGCCCGTGAACTCACCCCCACACCGGATGATGCCGTCTTTCGCTGGCTTAGTACCGTCTATGCTGGCACTAATCGAGCTATGCAAGACACAGATCGCCGACCTTGCCATAGCCAGGACTTCTCCTTGCACGGCAATGTCATCAATGGAGCTGACTGGCACACAGTCCCTGGGAGTACGTGTCTGTGTCGGGGGGGAGTTAATCCTGTCCCCCCGAACCCTTGCCTCATTAAAATCTGTTGTTACATACAGCACTCATGTCCATTCCCACCCTGAGTGTCTCTCAAGGAAGAGCACCAGAAGAGTGGGACATGATCTATCCACTTATACTCCAGTGTCTGTGGTTCCCCTAGGCATGAATGACTTCAGCTACCTATACACCAACTGCTTTGAGGTCACTGTGGAGCTGTCCTGTGACAAGTTCCCTCATGAGAATGAGCTGCCTCAGGAGTGGGAGAACAACAAAGATGCCCTCCTCTCCTACCTGGAACAGGTGGGACCTGAGTCCCCACTTCCTAACCTTTGTGAGTTACTCCTGGCAAGTCTACTCTCTACCACCTGGATCTGAAAGAACTAGGAGCACCAGTGCTATAACTGGCCACACATGGAACATACTTGGAACAGATTGTCTTGGAATGCTCTAGGACTAGAAAAGTGCAATTTGCTAGTTATGGTGATGTCAGATGCTATAAACCAGTGGAACTAGAGGTCAGAGCAGTCCAAGGGGTGGTCCCTAGAACTGTCACAGCTCTTTTGTCAGGAGAGCTCTTCTCATAAAAGACATTAGGCAAATGTGAAAAGTGCTATGGCACAGAAATGTCCCTGGGGAATAAGATCCCTGTGAATGGCTCCATAAGAATAGTGTCCACGGATTCTACAAGAGACAAGCCTGGGGGTTGGGTGGGGGCTGGATAAATGGCTCAGCAGTTAAGAGTACAAGCTTGTTTCAGGGATGGTCTCAGTCAGTTGGTAAAGGTGCCTGCTTGCCAAGCGGGACAAACTGAATTAATCCCTGGGACCCACATGGTCAAAGAAGACAACTGACTTCTGCAAGTTGCAAGTTGTCCTCAGACCTTCACACATGCTCCAAGGCACATGTGTATTCGTGCACATACACAGGCACACACCAAAAAAAAAGTAAAAAAAAAAATTTGTAACGAGTGCTTGCTCTGTAACCATGAGAGACAGAGTTCAGACCTCAGCATTCATGTAACAAGTTAAGCTGGCCTATAACCCCAGCTCCAAGGAGGACAGAGACGAGAATTGGGGTCTTACTGGCTTCCAGCCTAGCCAAGTGTGAGCCCCAGGTTCAGGGAGAGACCTTGCCTTAAAGAAATGGTGGAGAGTGGTAGAGAGAAACACCCAGTGTCCTCTTCTGGCCTCCAAGCACTCATGAGCATACACACAGACAAGCTCAATAACAGCATCACCATATTGGGAAAGCCCAAAGATCAGCCTTTCTTCTAGAGCAGGTGTGAGTTAGTAAACAGGAGATAATTTTTTTATTTTTATTTTATGTGTTTACCTGTATTGCTGCATGTAAGTGCACCCATGTCGTGCAATGTCCGTGGAGGACAGAAGAAGCCATTGGATCCCCTGGAACTGGAATTATGGACAGTTGTTAGCCACCATTTGGGTGCCAGGTCTTCTGCAAGAATAGCCAGTGTTCTTAATCACTAAGTCATCTCCCCAGCCTTAACAGGAGATAATTTTAACAAATTTGTCACCTAGGAACATGGTAGACCTGCCAAGGTCATCCTGTTCTACCCCAAGCTGGCCTTGATCTCAAAGAGATCCACCTGCCTCTGCCTCCCAAGTGCTGGGATTAAAGGTATAAGCCATTATAAGGGGGTCCTTTATCACCTTTGCAAGGGAACAGAATCAGAAAGTTAGTAAAGATCACATTTATGCAAAAGGAAAAGTGCCTCTTTAAAAAAAAATTCACTCTGTTTTTGAGACAAGGTCTCATTGTATAGCCCAGACTGCTCTCATACTTGAAATCGTACAACCACAGCAGAATTTTGATAAACTTTTCCACAGACTGAGGTGGCCCCAACCTGTAATTCTAGCACTTTGGAAGTGGAAGTTCGAGAATCATAAGCTCAAAACCAGCCAGGGCTACATGTTGGCAGTGTGCCTAAAGGCAAATAAACAGAAATACCGAAAACTTCCTACACAGGTTCGCATGGGCATTTCAGGAGTTGTACGGGATAAAGACACAGAACTTGGGATTGCTGATGCTGTCATTGCTGTGGAGGGCATTAACCATGATGTTACAACAGGTATGTGTGGCGGAAGGAGGGGTTGGAGGGCTTTAGACTGGGTCAGAAGTTGATGATCCTTGAGCCCTAACCTTGCCTTTTACTCCTCTTAAGCATGGGGTGGAGATTACTGGCGCCTGCTGACACCTGGGGACTATGTGGTGACAGCCAGTGCTGAGGGCTATCATACAGTTAAACGGAACTGTCAGGTCACCTTTGAAGAGGGCCCTGTTCCCTGCAATTTCCTGCTCACCAAGACTCCAAAACAGAGACTTCGAGAACTGCTGGCAGCAGGGGCTAAGGTGCCCCCAGATCTTCGAAGGAAGCTGGAGCGGCTTAGGGGACAGAAGAATTAACACTTTCAGTTGAAGAAAGCCAGATCCTTGGGCAGGCTGGACCTGTCAGACTGAAGGGGAGGAGGAGGGAGGGATGGCAAGGTGGAAGAAGAGGTGCTGTAGCTTATTAAAGCTACCTGGTACTTAATATTCCTGTTGTCTCTGTGTCCCAGGTCCTCCCTGTGGGTGGTCCTCAGCCTGCCTCAGTTCCTATCCTGCACACACTATTGACTTCTGGACTTTGTATACAAAGAGGATCCCACCTGAGCCGTTGTATCCAGAGCTTAGCAGAGTAGCTCATTTCTGCCTGTGAGTTTCTGTTACAGGCACCACGTATTCTGTGAGCACCTACTGAGTGCCAAGTATGCAAGGAGTCAAGAGGGTCTATACCCAGGCTTGTGGGATTCCCGGTTATGAAGGAACTAGGACTAGTTTAGTACACTCTGGGGCATGCCAAGGTGGAGGGCGATTGAGATGGGCATGCAGACAGTGCGGTAATACACATGGGAAGTGCAGGTTGTCAGGGATTCAAGACAGTTAAGGATGCAGCAGTTAGTTTCTTCCCTACTAAAGGAGGAATTGTGTGAATCTATCTTGCCAAGAAAACAATCGATGATAGCTATTTCAAGGAGAGAAAAATTTAATGATAGAAATAGTGTATGAAGGTAGTGAAAGAGCTGGTTGAGAAAAAGAAAAAAAGGAATTTCACCCGAAAGTAGGAAGCTAGTAGCTTTAGTGGGTTTTGTTGTTTGTTTGTTTGTTGTTTGTAACTAACAGCTGTCAAGGAAATCTGTCAAATGCAGGTAAGCTTCTGACCCCTTTACAATTTAGAGTAGGGGCAGGAATATGGCAAATACTAACAGAAAAATATGACCTAAAGACATCAAGATAGCGGTCTTCTGTTAAGTAAGTACTGTGTAGTGCTTGACTATTGGAATTTTCTTTCTTTTTAATAGGTTTCATTTATTTTTATTTTATGTGTATAAGTGTTTTGCTTGTGTGTAAGTGAGCCATGTGTATGCCTGGTACCTTCAGAAGTCAGAAGAGGGTGTCGGATCCTCTGGAACTGGAGTTAAAAATGGTGTTAGCCATCATGTGGGTGCTGGGAAATGAACCTGGGTCCTCTGGAAGAGAAGTAAATGCTCTTAACCACCGAGCCATCTCTCTAGCTCTCATTTCTTGAGTATTTCTGTATCTTTAGTTAGTTATGAAAGACTTAATACCACATTTCCCCATATCTTTTTTCTCTAGCTCCAGCTGCTCTTACATAATATCACTTAATTTTTTTTTCTCATTTACATTTAACAACTCTGAATAAATTCACAGAAATAAATACATACTCAACTAACTGTAACCCGGCCCATAACAATTTTTAGTTGCAGATGATAGAATCCACTCTAGATAGCTTAAGTAAAAAGAGATTCATTTAAAAAAAGTCTTAGGAGCTGGGCGTGGTGGCACACGCCTTTAATCCCAGCACTTGGGAGGCAGAGGCAGGAGGATCTCTGTGAGTTCAAGGCTAGCCTGATCTACATAGTGGGTGAGTTCCAGGCCAGCTGGGGCTACAGGGAGACCCTGTCTCAAAAAGCCCCCCCCCAAAAAAAAGGTCTTAGGAAGTTTACAGAACCTCGATGAGAACTGGAGGCCAGACCTGAATGCTCCATAATCCAAAACAGCCCTGTCAGTATCAAAAAGATCAGAAGAATGCCCAACCATGTCACAGGACTATCTTTTTTAAAAATATTTTATTTATTATTTTTATTTTATGTGTATGCGTGTATTGCCTGTGTGTAGGTAAGTACACCCATGTCATGCATGTCATGCAGTGCCTGTGGAGGACAGAAGAAGCTTTCGGATCCCCTGGAACTGGAGTTAGGACAGTTGTTAGCTGCCATGTGGGTGCTGGGATTCGAACCCGGGTCTTCTGCAAGAACAACCAGTGCTCTTAACTGCTGAGCCATCTCTCCAGCCCCCTCACAGGACTATCTTACAGGAATCACCACTTATTTGTTTTCTTTTTGGCAGGTAAGATACTAGAGACCAGTATATATATATGTATATATCTCCCAGAGAAACTGAAAACTTGTACTACTATGATTGTCAGAAAATCTGTCACCTCCCATTGCCCATTTTTATGTTCAAGACTAGGGTCAGATCATCTATTTTGGGATGATCTAGGCTATATGAGAAATCCCAGGTTAAAAAGAAGACAGGGAGATTTAGCTCTTAACCTTCTACTTTTTACAGTTATAAGAAGTCAAGCTAAAATGAGTTAAAATCAACATTAAGTGAGTTAATCTACAATATTAGAAACACAAAAGAGAATCTATGAGTAGGATCACAGTGTTGTATAACTTTAGGAGATTCTGTTTAAAATGAATCAGTAGCCTAGAGCCCCCCCCAAAAAACACAGGCCACTATCATTGCTCTTGGCTGCTTGCCAAAACTAGATGGTAAGTTGCTATAGCTGAAGGCACCACACATTTTGGTTGTAGGATATCAAGAAATCAATCTGTAACTGAGCAGGAAATATCCTTCTTGCTGGCTCGCTTTCATAGTGCTGAAACCTATTCAGGTCTCTGAGGGGGAAAAGAAATCAGTGGTCTCACCCAGCACTAGACTCTGCATGCTACAATAATGACCTGATAGGCAAGATGTGCAATAGTGGCATGACTGTTATGGGGGTAACCACCCACTTTCTGATTGCCTTTGAGACCGGATTCACAGTAGGGAATTCATGCCTGGTACTGTAACCTGGTCAGAAGACCATGGTTGGGGAGATCATAGGCCCTAGAGGGGGTAACTTATTATTGTTGTTTTGCTAAATAGTCATGTTGTCAAACTGCATTCTAAATATTTATGTTTTTATCCATAGGTTTGTGCTGTTCTCAGCCTTGGTCAGATAAGCTTCTTTTGCAGTAGGCAGTGGTTAATGCAGAGACTGTTGCACTCATGAACTCACAGTGGCTGTGGTTCCCTGCACAAGATCAAGCCAGTCAAAATTCCAGCATGGACTGGGGAAGGACTCACAAGGCCCCACCCCTAGCTGAGGAGCACTTGTGGAGGTCAGAGGACAACTTGTAGGAATCAGTTCCCTCCTACCATGTGGGTTCTGGGGATTGAATTCAGGTCGTCACCTTTATCTACTGAGCTATCTCTCCAACCCCTAAGATTAGTTTTTGAAGAGATATTAACTGAGGACTTTTGGAACTGACAAAACGTACCAATTCACAGGTAAAAGAATTCCAATGAATCCCAAGAAAGATAAACAACTTAATAGATAATGGGTAAAATATGTGAGTGTGTGTTTCACAAAAGAAAGATTATCCAGGGCTGGAGATATAGTGCAGTGATTAAGAACACTGACTGTTCTTGCAGAAGACCTGGGTTTGAATCCCAGTACCCACATGGCAGCTAACAACTGTCCATAACTCCAGTTTCAGGGGATCTGACTGTCTCTTCTGTCCTCCACGGGCATTACATGACACGGGTACACTTACCTACATGCAGGCAGTACATGCATACACATAAAATAAAATAAAATAAAAATAAAATGAAAGATTATCCAACTTTTACTCATGAATATCAACAATTCCTATATAATTAAATTCACCTTTTTGATGACCAGCTATGGCTACACAGCTGGTAGACCCTGTCTCAGTAACAACAACAACAAAAAAAAATTCTATATCCAGCAAAACTGTCCTTTAAAAATGAAGAGAAACTAAAACTAAAGTATTCTCAGATAAACAAAAACTCAGAGACTTCATTCTTGGCAGATTTGTCTTATGACAAGTACAAAAAAGTTCTTTATGCAGAAATGAAAGGATACTAGACAGTAACTCAAATCCATATGAAGAAGTAAAGATTACCACTGGAGGGAACTATATAATTAAATATGATAGTATTGTGTGCCTTTTCTTGGAAAGATGGGAACAAACATTTATTTACTTCAGAGAGGGCACCAAAGAAATGATTCCACCCAAGTCTAGCTTGGTGAACCAGTGTGTTTGTTGGGGGTTCTTATAGAAGCATGGGTGAGGAGTTATTTACAGGAGGATGTGTGACTCAAAGGCAGCTGTATTGCCAAAATGCCCACTGTACCATGGGTGAGGACTCAATGCTGTTATAAAAATTCTGCATTGGGGGGCTGGAGACATGGCTCAGCAGTTAAGAGCACTGACTGCTCTTGCAGAGGACTGGGTTTGATTCCCAGCACCCACATGGCGGCTATGAACCATCCTTAACTTCAGTTCCAGGGGAATCTGAAGCCTTCTGACCTCTGCAGTATTGCATGACACAGGTGCCCTTACATACATACAAGCAGTACACTCATATGCATAAAATAAAAATAATAGGCTGGGGGTGGTGGCACATACCTTTAATCACAGCACTTGGGAGGCAGAGGCAGGCATATCTCTGTGAGTTCGAGGCTAGCCTGGTCTACATAGGGAGTTCCAGGTCAGCTGGGGCTACAGGGAGACCCTGTCTCAAAAAGAACAAAAATAAAAAAATAAAAATAAAAATAAAAATTTTAAAAAATTGTAAGCTCACAGAAAGTTTCAACACAGTACAAAGAAAAAGATATCCATATGCCTCTTAGTCTTCTCTAGGGGTGATTTACAGTTGTAGTGTAGGGGCTGAGTTGTCTCCCGTCCACATCCATATGCTGAAGTATGAGGTATGAGGACCTGAGTTCAGATCCCCAGGACCCACATAAAAATCTGGTGCCTGTCAATAACCTCAGCACTGGGTAGGGAAGGTGGGGGATGCACAGGTGGATCCCTAAAGCTCATTGGCCAGCCAGCCTAGTAAAATTGACAAGCTTCAGGGTCAGTGAGAGACTTGTCTAAAAAAATACATGTGGAAGGCCAGTGAGATGGCTCAGTGGGGAAAGGTGCTTGCTGCCAAGCCTAGTGATCTGAACTCAGTCCCTTAGGCCCACATGGTGGAAGGTGAAAACCAACTCCCACAAGTTGTCTTCTGAACTCCACTTGGACTTTCACATGCACACTGTGGCACAAAGACACAAAAACAGACACACAGAGACACACACACAGATACATACACAAATTAATAAATGTAATTTTAAAATTAAAAATAAAGGTGGAAAGGGATGGGGAGAGACATCCAACCCAACATTT